GGTGTACGGTACACATACCCCTGTTTACAGATGACCTCATAGATCCTTCTGTTCCAAGCACACCTCCTATCCCGTTCTTCTCATCCATGACCACAGAGTTCATTCCACTCTCATCTCTTATCACATGTATCTCTCTAGATTACAGATGATCTTTCTCAGTATTGTTTTCAGTAATGTGCTCAAATTCCCACTAAAATCCTTCACAGCTTGACCCATCGCCCAAGATTCCCCCAACCCATGCCTCCCCCAGGAGTCACCCCATCACACCACACACACACACAAACAGCGCGCGCACACGCACATGCATGTATGTGTGAGTGTGTGGACATGTGCACACATACACACAGACCCACGGAGCCTGCCCGGACTTAGGGTCCAGAGGCTATTTGGCTGCTGAAGGCATATGCAGGATGAGTCAGGAGCCTGCAGCGAAAACCCATGTTGTTACCGGAAGGACTAGCTGTCCTGTCCTGGAGCTGAGCTGTGTGACTTGCTGGGATAGGAAGGCAGGCATAAGGGATCAGAAAGAAGGTCAGGAGTGGGGAGGAATAAAAGGTGAGGGAGATTAATCCTGTCGGAATCCTGGGAAAAAAGATCACACTTTGAAAAATTTATTTGGAGAGCACATGGGCGGCTCAGTTGGTTATGTGTCTGACTCTTGACTTTGGCTCAGGTCATGATCTCAGGGTCCTGGAACCGAGCCCCACCCACATCAGGCTCCACACTCAGCAGAGTGTCTGCTTGAGGATTCTCTCCCTCTCCATCTGCCGCCCCACCATTGCTCTCATGCTCCCTCTCTAAAAAATAATGATAACAATAATAATAATAATAATAATAACTTTTTTGAAAGAAAGAAGGGAGGGAGAAAGAAAGGAAGGGAGGGAGAAAGGAAGGAAGGAAGGAAGGAAGAAAAATGTATTTGGGAGGGGCGCCTGGGTGGCTCAGTTGGTTAAGCATCTGCCTTCCACTCAGGTCATGATCCCAGGGTCCTGGGATGGAGCCTCACATAGGGCTCCCAGCTCAGCAGGAATCCTATTTCTCCCTCTCCCCTGCTTGTGTTCTCTCTGTCTCTCAAATGAATAAATAAAATCTTTTTAAAAAAGAGAGAGAGAAGAAAAGAAAAAGAAAAATGTTTTGGGAGCCATCATGCCTCTGGCTCTTTTGCTCAGCTCCCCCCCTATTTCTGACCAGAAACTATGAAGAATCCAGCTCCCCTTTCCCCCATAATTCATTCTGGCCATCTAGTCATTCCAACACAACTTCTGATCTGATTCCTATAAGTGTAAGTTCCAGGTGCTACAGGAGACTACTTTGTGCTACACCTCGGCTACAGGAGACTATTTTGTGCTGCACCCCCAGCAGCAGGCCCTCTCCCACAGGGAGTCAGTGCATTCAGGCTCCACCCCCTACACCCTGGCTCCTGTGAAATGTATTTGAGCGCCTCTGGGACTGAGATCCCTTCTTGATGTTCCTTTCAGCTCTTCACACCACCTACCGTGATTCTGGGCACATATCACACCATCAGTGCTTGTTAACTGATGGACAGATTGATCATAAGCACACATTCCATCACCTCTTATTGAGTGGTTTTCAAAAAGTGCTGGGAGGATCCTTTGCGCCAGAATCTCCTTGGGTGTTTTCTAAAATGCATTTACTTGAACCCCACCACGCACTGGCTATTTCAGAATTTCTGAGAGTGTAACTGTGGCAGCTGCCTTGTAGTGGATAGATGATGGCCACAAACTGACGTGTCTGCCATCAAGAGACGGGGTCTATTTCTCCCCTCCTTGAAATTAGCCCATGGCTGCTGTGAACAATGAGCTGAAGCTCTGCCAGTTCCAGGCCCAACCTTGGTCTCTGGAAGGCCTGGACTATGTGGAGGGACCCTAAGACTACATGAAGAGGGGTAAGAGCCTGCTGAGACAACTCTCCACTCATCCCCTCCAATTTGCCCAGCATGTGGGTGAAGCTCTTCAGGACCCTCCGGATGAGACCAGACACGAGCTGAAAACCAATGGATGACCCCAGGTGATCACCTAGAGCAGAAGAATCAACCAGCTGATCCTTCCCAGAGTTCCTAACCCACAAAATTATGAAATGGAATAAGTTGGCTGTTGCTTTAAACCTCTGAGTTTTGTGATAACTTGTCACATGGTGATAGAGAATAAGAATATGCAGACATCACAAATTCTCCAGGTTTTTCTGGTGTATCCTAGAATTTGAGTCATTGGTGTAAAGGGATCTGACATTTAATGAGTAAAATTTTATATTAAAGATGAGAAAATATAATTCACTTCACAATTTGTTATTTATATATCCTAAGGGAAGAATATATAGTAAAATAAAATCTCATCATTTATGTTGAACTCATTTTGTTTACCGAACAGTTGTGATCATAATACAAACAAGAGAGGGCCTCCAGCTCTCCTGAACTTTTCTAGACAATTCAATTGCCTCAGACAGTGTTAATAAACAATGTCATCCCAATGGAATAAAATACGGCTTTGGATTTAAAATGTAGTGAGTCCTGACAACATTTGGTTTGGATTGGACATGTTTCCTTAGTCTTTGCTTCCAGGCCAAAACTAAGAAGATTGGTGAGGGGGAGGGAGGAGAGGTTAGTCTCTTGGGAGTATATTTTAAATCTGAAGGTTGTGGGTTTCTTTTGGGTTTCATAATGAAACCTTTAGACTTGTAAGTCACATGACCAACCACTGCTTTAGCCAGAGTTTTGGATGAAAACCACAGGACCCTACAAACCCCACTGGGATTAGTGATTTTTGTTTTGGTTTCTCAACAAAGCAATTTGGACAAATCTGAGAAATTTTTACAGACTCAGCAGAGATCGGTGTGAAACTCAGCGTCTTCCTTGGACGCTTCAGCTGAGCTTCGGTGGGTTTGGACGGGTCCAGTGCTTAAAAATGGAACTCTAAAAGCATAAAACCACACAAGCCAAAAATATTTTCCAAAACGAGTTTAACTAAACTGAAGCTGCTGGGATTTGTGCCCTCTCTGTGCCGACAAGTAAATGTGCCCCTTCCAACTCGATTCCCAACCTGCCTTCAAGCTCATTGGGTCGGCTGCGTCACGTGCCGAGCGGAGCTGTCGCTCTAGAACAGAACCCTGGCCTCTTCAGACACTCTTCAGAGGTGGCGGTGTGTTTACCAAGATTCAGTAGTTTGAAGCCTGGCAAGAAATCAACCTCACCACCTATTTTTATTTTGTTCATCTAAAAAACAGAGTGTCCATATGGTGGCATCACTTGAGAATAGCTGACAAATAAATACAGTCATCCTTAAAGCCAGTGGTTCCCAGACAACCAGTCTGGCCCATGGCCGGGCTGCGTCAACACTGCTTGAGACCCTGGTGGAAAATACAGATTCCCAGGCAGCTCTCCAAGTCAGAATTTCTGGATGGGAGCCCAGGAATCTTTATTTTTAATGAGCTGTTCAGATGATTGTATACATCCAAGTTTAGGAAACACTTTGGTGTTGAAAAAATATGACACCCCAGCCCTGGCCAAGATGGAGTAACATGAATTGGATTTATCCTACTGCCTGAAACAACTAAAAAAACGGCAACAAAATGTATAAAAGAATGGCTTTCCGACACCGGACGTCAGGCAGTCCGGGATGATGATCACTGAGAGGGCAAAAAATGATTTTCCAGATACCAGGAAGGGAGAGCAGGCAACGCTTGGTGCATGACAATCGGGTTTAGGGGATGAGGTTGTTAGGAGGTGATTTCGTTGTACTCCATGAAGGGTGCTTAGTGACTTCACAGAGGACTCCTCACAGAGCGGGGGCTGGGCTGAATAACCCGAGGACCTTCCTTCCAGTGGAGATATTCAGCGGCACAGGTGCGCATATGCTGATGGAGACTAAGGCCAAGTACGGCGTGGATTTGCAACATACTCTTATTTGTGTTTTAAAAATAGAGGCATTTACATATCACAATAGGCAAAACCTTTGTCAGAAACCTAAGAGAGTGGTACTCATTGTTTCTGAGGCACAAGCCTGACAAGCTGGGCTGAGGTGGGATGGAAACAAGTTTTACTGTATACTTTCTATACTGTTCGGATATCTCTAAAATGATCATGTGTTTCACTTTAAATAAAAAAATTAAAATAAATGAGTCCTCCTAAGGATTTCTTTAAATATTTAACCAGGAGTATCTGGCTGGTCCAGGCTGTAGAGCATGTGACTCTTGACCTTAGGGTTGTGAGTTCAAGCCCCATGTTGCAGGTAGAGATTACCGAGGAATAAGCAAACTTTAAAAAATAATAATAAAAAAATCAATAAATATTTAACCAAATTTTATTTGATTTTCACAAAACACCTCTCCTGTAACTCTTCAGGAAAATGTTGACCATGTAAAGCACTTGATATAATACACACCCATTCAGTAATTTATTCTATGTATCATTCACAATTTAGTTTGTCCTTATTCATCTGACATATGATACAATCCTACACAACAAACAGTGACAGCAAATAAATGAAACACATTTATTGTGTATCAACTTAATTTGAAAAACAAGTTGTTGCCATTGCCTTTTCATTTCCAAAATATGAGTTTAAAGTTATTTAATTGTTTTCGGGGTCTGGCACAGTCCCACACAATGCCTAGTGTTAATTATCTGGTCACATCCAGATTCCTGCAGTTGTTTCTAAAATCTACAAAGTATTCTATTTTAGACTCCCAAGGGTCCGAAGTGTAAGATGTTTGTATAAGGCCTGTGTTTGCTCTATGTGTGGGTACACGTAAGATAAAGAAAAGCTTCAGGCTCAGAATAAATGTTCTTCCCTCAGGCAGGGCCACCGTCCTGAATGGATGTCCATGTTCAGGCCTCTGGTTTATGGGGAGCCCTTCTTAAGGGGACCCCACACAACATTTCCTGTTGTGCTTTTTCTACTCTTCTGAAGGGTAGGATATACATGTTTTCATTGTTAAACAAAAGATATGAGCTATGTGAATTACCTAAAATTTTTCCTCTGCAGATTGTAAGGATTTGGGAAATTTAAAGAACTAGAAGGCCCAAAGAAGAGATTTAACCAAAGAACCAAAATCAGAGAAAGTGAATTTGGGAATCTAAGTAACTGAGAAATCAAATCCATTCTTTCTGATATTCCATTGTTTTCTCTGCTCATGGATTCTCACCAAAGGACAAGCAAGGTCAGTTCCTTCTCTCTTAAATTCCTTCTCAAAAACAATGGGAAAGGAAGCAAAATATGGGTATCTTTGTGTTTGCTTGCATCAACATAAACACCAGGAACATACGTGAGAATCCCCTATAAGGACAGGGCATGGGGGTGGAGAGGAACTGGAGTACATGGGGACAGACCTCTCAACATTTACTGTTTTTCTAATTGAAATATATTCGACCCACAGTGTTACAGTAGTTTCAGGTGTACAGCAGAGTGATTCAATTTCTCTATACCTTGTGCTTTGCTCACCACAAATGTAGCTGCCATTTGTCACCATACAGTGCTAGTACAATACCATTGACTATATTCCCTATGCTGTACCTTTCGTCCCGTGACGTATTCATTTTGTAACTGAAAGCCTGTGCCTCCAACTCCCTTTGACCCATTTCGCCCATCTCCACCACTCCCTTCCCTGTTCCTATACTTACGTGTCTATTTCTGCTTGTGTGTGTGTGTGTGTGTGTGTGTTTTAGATTCTACATATATGTGTAATCATATGGTATTCGTCTTTGTCTTATTTCAGTTAGTATAATAGCCTCTAGGTCTATCCATGTTGTTGCAGATTGCAAGATCTCACTCACTTTTATGACTGCATGATATTCCATTGTATATATTTCACATCTTCTTTATGCTTTCGTCTTTGGTGGGACACTTGGGAGCCTTCTGTATCTTAGCTGTTATAAATAATGGTGCAGTAAGCATAGGGGTGTATATATCTCCTTGAATTAATGTTTTCATTTTCTTTGGGTAAATAGCTGGTTGTGGAGTTACTGGATCATATAGTATTTCTATTTTTTCATTTTTTGAGGAACCTCCATACGGTTTTTGACAGTGGCTGCACCAATTTACATTCTCACCAACAGTGCATGAGGGTTCCCTTTTCTCCACATGCTCACCAATACTTGTTATTTGTCTTTTTGATTCTAGCCATTCTGACAGGAATAAGGAGATATCTCATTGTGGTTTTGATTTGCATTTTCCTGATGATGAGTGATGTTGAGCATCTTTTCATGTGTCTACTGGCGATCTTCATCAACATACACATTTTTTTTTATAAACATATATTTTTTTCCCCAGGGGTACAGGTCTGTGAATCGCCAGGTTTACACACTTCACAGCACTCACCATAGCACATACCCTCCCCAATGTCCATAACCCCACCCCCCTCTCCCAACCCCCCTCCCCCATCAACCCTCAGCTTGTTTTGTGAGATTAAGAGTCACTTATGGTTTGTCTCCCTCCCAGTCCCATCTTGTTTCATTTACTCTTCTCCTACCCCCTTAACCCCCCACAACATACACATTTTTATAATGTTTTCATCTCAGACCATGTGAATGCATCAACTATTTTTAAGATTTCAGCTAAAAAAAAAAAAAAGATTTCAGCTAAAAAATATTTCTCGAAGCTTATTTCTTTCCATAAAACCTTTATATAACATGCCTAAGGCTAGGTTGAATAGACTGAAGTTGCCTAAACTGAATAAAAACAACAGGAAACTTGAGCTCAATCTCCGCCTCCCCTTTCCTTTGCTTATCATTTTAGGTGGAAAAAGATCTCCAATAATTATCTAAGTGACTTCCTTATGGCTTTTCCATGGCTTAGATCAGATGAGTCTGTAGGTTCCTAGAACATTTTGAAAGATAAAAGACAAAATTCTACTTGGTGTAATTCTTCCTTTTGGAGACATTTTTGGGTATTCACTACAGAATCACCTGTGTAGGATAACAGAAGTCAACAAAACAATGAGGATCCTGGAAAGAAAAGGAGATTGGGGGGGGGGGGATACGCGCGTGTGCGTGAGTGTGTGTGTGTGTGTGTGTATACACACACTCATGTGCAGGGTGTTGGGGAAGATGGCAGAGAAGGCCTGGAGGTATTTCCCAGTGTAAACATTAGAGGTTTAATTTTTGCAAAGCAGCTTTTCTGGTGAAATATTGCTGACTGTGTTTGGAAGTTGATAATATAATTCAGTTCTCCTCTGGGCATTGTGGGTATACTATGATTTTCTTGGTTGAAATGCCTCCCTCCCCACCCCCAGAATAGTAGAAAGAGTGAATAATTTCATATTGGACACTTTCCCTTTTGGGGAATAATTTAAGCACTACCATATGTCTTCTTATTTTGTCCTTCTACTGTCTCTCACGAACCACTGGGCTTTGAAAATGCAAAAACAAAGCAAACACAAAGAAACACACGCATGCACGTGTCTGTGTGTGTGTCTGTGTATGTGTTTAAAAGCACTCTCTGGTGATTGTCCAACCACTGGGCCATGGTAATTATCCAGGAAGGTGTTTGAAGATGTGCTTCACTGAAGGGGAGTGATAACAACCTTCAGAAACTGTTTAATCCCCTGAAACTAAAATCGGTCTGATGGTAGCTGCATAAGACGGGAAGGAATAATCATTGAAATTAGACCCAAGGAAGAAGGCGTGAAGTGTGCCTGCTCTCGGGGCGCCAGTGTCAGAAGCACTCGGGTCCAAGGCACGTATGTTTGACCTCAGATGAATTCTGGAGTGTTTTCCTGTAGAAGAGCTTGTTCTGAGTCACTCCTGGTGAATTGGTGTCTCTCTCTCTGACATGGTGTGTGGCGTGGTTGTCCCATGTCCACAGTGAGCTGCCAGATCTGCAGAAGCAGAGGCCTTTTTCGGAAGTGCCTAAATCAATCTAGAAATAGTAGTCTGATTATTTGATTTTTCACAGTTCTTTGCCTTTTTCCTACACTGAGGAGTTATGTAGCTAACTTTATTCATATCGAACAGCAATGGAGGTTAAAGTGATCTCTGATTTGGAACCATACCGTTGACTTGAAAAGTGCAGAGGTTCTTTAAGTATACTCAATTCGTGAGCACCCAGCCAAGCAGATCATTTAGGAAGCCTCTTATCTCAGAAAGCTGATTAAATTATAAAATTATCAAGACATTTATTTCAAAGATACTGAGAAAAATCAGGGCGTTCTTGTCAGGTGCCTGAAGGCACCTTTAAAACTTGACTCCAGGGGCTCCTGGGTGGCTCAGTCATTAAGTGTCTGCCTTCGGCTCCGGTCATGATTCCAGGGTCCTGGGATCAAGCCCCTCATTGGGCTCCCTGCTCAGCGGGAAACCTGCTTCTCCCTCTCCCACTCCCCCTGCTTCTGTTCCCTCTCTCGCTGTGTCTCTCTCTGTCAAAAAAAAAAAAAAAAAAAAATTTAAAAAAAAAAAAACTTGATTCCAACATTCTTTAACATCTTCTCATCAAGAACAGGAGCCTCTGTCCCTGCTCTTGAGTCAGGATGGGCTGGTGACTGCTTTGAGCAATAAAGTGTGACAGAAGCCTCACTCTGTGGCTTCTGAGGTGAGATTGGAAAAGGCCATGCCACTTCTACTTTTTCCTCCTGGGATGCTTGCTCTGGAAGAATCTGGCCCCCACGCAATGAGTCTGCCTCCCTTGAGAAAGTTTTGCTGGGCAGGCCTCTGGTCACAGGCTCTCTGAGCTCCAGTGGCTCCGGGCCGTGTAGATGGGCCATCTTGGAAACACAGCCCTGTTGAGCCTTCAGATGGTTGCTGTCCCTGCCGGTGTCTGACTGCAACCTCAGGAGAAATTCCATGTGACAAAAAAGCAGCTAAGCCCTTCCCGAATTTATAACCAACAAAATCTTTTTTTAAAGTTGTTTTTTAACGTACTGGTTTTGGTTTACACCACCAAGTTTTGGGTTGATTTGTTATTCGGTGCCAAGAGGAAGGAAGTTTCTCTCCTTTGACACACCTTCTTATTCCAGCTGCTTACGTTCACTTCTGAGCATTTACCCTGTGCTGGTGTTAGTCCATTTTTCCTTTGGTTCATCTTTTCATCCCCCACCTATATCCACACACACAGCCACATGGCCACGGCCACTGGAATATGCACAAAATCGATCACTAGGCTCAGTTTTACTCTCTAATTCACTCAGTTCAAACCTCATTTTTTAGCCAAAAAACATGGGTCTGCAGGGATTAAGTGTTAGTCCAAGGTCACAGGGCTCAGAAATGGCCCAGCTGGAAGTAAACCCAGGTCTTCAGACGCCCAGTCCAGTCCTTTTCCCACTAATTACTTTCATTTCCCATTCATCTCCCAAAATAAAATGGGTCAATCCTTTTCTAGTCCAGAGGCCATAAACTCTGAAAGGGCCAGATGCCTGGGCACAGTGCCTCATTTGGCCTTCCAGCGGTTCCAGCGGTGACTGGTGGGCTTCTGGCGAGGGCTGCCTATAGCCAACCTGCTGGGGGGAGAAGAGAGGCAGTGAGTGAAAAGAGGAAAGAGGGAAGTGCCATGAGGGCCTGCAATATCCCTCCCTTGTTCCTCACAGGTCTATATTCTGAAGGCCTGACGCTGATTATGGCCAGAGCGCAGGCAGGGAGTCCCAAATGTGCTGGAAAACTGCCAGGTGCTGGGGGAGCTTCCCCCGCTCCCAAGTTCCTATGTTAGACCCTTCTCGCAAACACAGAAGTCTTTTTAGATGGGATACAGTGTATTTCTGAGTCAGGCTTGAAAAAGATGAGCAACTGGGGCAAAAGAGTGGGAAACCCTCTGTTAGACAGGACTGGGGCTGGTTAAATGTGAGAAGCATGTATCGGTGTATTTTATCTGCCCCTGAGAGGACCAGGCACACTATCATTAATACACTGCTGGTCACGGCCCCAGCATTGCCCCAATTTTTCTAAGCCCTACGGCATTGTTATATCATTTGTCTGGCAAGGGAATCAGAACCAGTGAGTAAGAAGGCCACCTCCTGAGCTCCCCCAGCGTCCCCCCACCATGGTGTATTTCCATTCCTTGAGCTTCTTGCCAACAACCAGATCTCCCTCCTCCACCCACCTCTCCACCATTCTCCTACACCAAAGGGTAAAGGATGATTAAAAGTCGTCTGCATGAGGTGTGGTTTCGTTCAATATGTACTGTTGGTTCTGCAAATATGCTGGTGGGACATTGACCACGCATGTTATGTACCATATG